AGAGTGGGACAGAGTGAGAAAGAGAGAGAGGGAAAGTAAGAAAGCAAGCCGCCAGGTCTGGGACTCAAACCACGATCTGCCATGTGGGAGTCCAGCGCCCTTAAACAACACACCACCTGCCAGCCCTGACAGACTCATTTTAACAGAGAATAGAACAAGTTACGACCATTCTCACAGATTTTCATGCTACATGGAAAAATAGTATTGAAATCCTTGTGAAAATATTCATTTTAGCATCATTTTGAAACAAGTTCATTGATCAAGCTTTATGAAACATGAATCTCACCCTCTGCTGATGTCAGGAGCAGGGGCATCGCTTTCATATCTTTTTGAGTGCTTTTTGTTAAATATAAGGACTTGTGGGGTTTTGTTTTGTTTTGTTTTGAGAGAGAGAGAGAATGATTTTTGTTTCAGGGCCTGTGCACTTGCTGGAGAGACAGAGACCGAGAGACAAAAAGTGAGAAATCACTTCCCCAGGAAGGATGGCCATGCCACAGTCCCTTCTCCTCCATTCTCCTCTGGGGACTTTGGGCACGCATGCACAGACACACAATGTTAATTTCAAGCCTCTGGGTCTGATACTTGAATTGCAGTTGACTACGTGAGAGTCCAACGACATAACCATTACACTATCTGCTGGTCCCAAGACTTGCATTTTTAAGGCCAGGTACTAGAATTTTGGGTTACTATTATTAAAAAGGCATGGGCCCAGCAAGTCGCATGGTGATTAAAGTGCTGGACTCCCACATGGTCAATCGGTTCGAGACCCAGACCCAACAGATTGAGGATCACTCTGGGTGATGGAGAAGGGATTGCAGTATGGCCAGTCCCCTGGGGGAAATTTCTCATTTTCCCTCTATCTCCAGTGAGCACACCTGCCCTATTGTAAAAATCTAAAAAAAGAAAGAAATATATATTATTGATTGACTAGTCGACTGCCCTGTTTGTAAATAGTGAGTGGAAAATAGGATTACAAATAAGTAGTGGCTTTTGTATTTATATATAT